TGTGGACGGGGAAGGTTGGCGATGCGTCGGCGTTCCGTGTCTGGGGATCTCGGGCGTTTTGTCCGCGGACTTGTCTGCGGACAAGCTGTCCCCTCGTGCTGCTCCCTATGTCTTCCTTGGCTTCCCCACAGACGCTCCCGGGTGGTAGTTTTACCACCCCTCCTCTCGTAGTGTTCTGTCCTCCCAGGACGTCACGTTCGACGAGTCAGTCCCCTTCTACCGCCTCTTCCCCTACCAGCACTCCTTCCCTCCCCCCTCCGCCGGACATCCTTGTGCCAGGTTCCCCCCCCGGTAGACCCCCTCCCCCCTCAGGTTCCTGCCCCCTCAGGTGTGTCCCAGGTAGACGCTGTTGACCCGGTCGAGGTTACTGGTGACTCTGGTGCTTGTGCGCGGGGGTGCCGAGCCTGGAGGTGCTGCTACTAGGGGTGCTGAACCTGGGGGTGCTGGGCCTGGGAGTGCTACTACGGAGGGTGCTGAGCCTGGGGGTGCTGAGCTGGGGGGTACGGTGCCTGGAGCTGCTGAGCTAGGGGGTGCTGGGTCTGGGGGTGCTGGGTTGGAGCTGCTGAGCCTGGGTGGTACTGAGTCTGGAGCTGCTGAGCCTGGGGTTTCTCCTGCTGTTGCGTCTCGCCGGGAGCCCCTCTCTCCACAAGAGCTGCGCGAGTGGTTTTGCTCGCCGCTGGAGGCGTGCTGCTGGAGCTGGAGCTTCTTCGACCGTCGAGGGTGCTGGTGCCTGCCGGTCCCGGAGCTGCTGGGTCTGCGGGTACTCCTGGAGCAGGAGCTCCTGAGGGTGTTGGTGCTGAGACTACTGCTGTCTGTCCCGGCGGTGGTTCTACTACTGGTGCTGCTGGAGGTCCTGCCGCTGGAGGTGTTGGTGGCACTGGTGCTGTCGCTGAGGGTGCTGGTGCTGTCCCTGCTGAGTCTGGAGTTGCCGCGCGGCCTCGGCCGTACTTCGTTCCGCTCCTACAGCAGGTTCTTGGTCTTTCTCCTTTGGTAGAGTGTCCACAGCCTGTCCAGTCGCAGTCCCTGTTGGAGCCTTCCTCTCCACTGCCTGCTCCCTCTCCTTACACTGGTCCTACTGGAGGTCTTGCTGAGCATCGTGAGCCTGCGTCTCGTCCTGCGTCGCCTATTCGTGCTGCTCGCACTAGTGGTCGCGGTTCGCGTCAGCGTCCTCCTCCTGTCCCTGGCACGCACCGGATGTCTCTGCGTCCGTCCACTGCTCCTCTGCGTGCCCCTTTGCCTTCTCCTCCTGAGTCCTCTCTTCCTGCGCTTGCCGACCCTGAGTCGGACTCTCTTCGTGCTGCCAGTCCTAGTGTCACGCGTCTCCTTGCTACTGTCGTCACTGACCCCTCGTTTGAGTCCACTGCTGCGTCTGCCCTTGTCGCTGAGCTCGTCGACTTTGCTGCTCGCTGTCGTCTAGACTACGCTGCTAGTCTTGTTGCTGCGTCAGCGTCTGACTATCCTCTGTCCGTCGGGGGTGACTGTGCTCTTGGCACGGACGTCCTAGAGGACAGGCAGGAGGAGTTCCAGTGTCTGGCGGCTGCTTCACCTCATCTCGTGTCTGTATTGCTTGCTCCTGAGGGAGACCCGGATGCACTAGACATCCCGACTCCGCGCTCTTACGCGGAGGCCGTAGAGGGTCCCTACTCGTCTCAGTGGCAGGCAGCTATGGATGCAGAGATGGCTTCCTGGAAGTCCACAGGCACCTACGTTGACGCAGTTCCCCCTCCTGGGGCGAACATCGTCAGTGGCATGTGGATCTTCAGGGTGAAGCGGCCGCCGGGCTCTCCACCTGTCTTCAAGGCGCGGTACGTTGCTCGTGGCTTCAATCAGCGGCAGGGAGTTGACTACTTTCAGACCTTCTCTCCCACCCCGAAGATGACCACTCTTCGGGTGCTGCTGCACATAGCCGCTCAGCGCGACTACGAGCTTCACTCTCTCGACTTCAGCACTGCGTTCCTGCAGGGTAGCCTGCACGAGGAGATCTGGCTGCGCCGTCTGTGAAAATGAGTAAGCAGGGAAATGATTGACTATGAAATGAAATCAGTACAAGTATCATACCCTAACTGGTTGTACCCCCTACGGTATACCCCACTACAGCCTACACAACAGTATAAGCTGTATATATGTTCTGACACACCCCCATAGGCAAAGTGGGGGAGAACAAGAGGGTCACAAGACCAGTCAAGCAAAGCAAAACAAAGCTCAGGGTGGATCACAAAGTCACCACACAGTCCGAGCACAAGAGCAAGGCCAAAGGCCAGTTCACATGCAAGAGTACAGACATATATATAAAGCAAGACAAGCAAGAGCAGGTATATATATGTCACAGTACAAGTAAAGTCAAGAAGAGAGCAAGTGAGGCAAGACAGGCACAAGACCCAGCTGGGTACAAAAGCGCTGATGGTCACAAGGCGCAAGTGCCTTGGTGAACACATCAGCAGTGTTGGCCTCAGAGGCCACGTACGCAAGTCGCAACTGACCACGCTGCTGCAGCTCACGAGCAAGGAAGTAGCGGAGAGCAATGTGCTTCGTTCTGTGCTCCAAGCGCTGCTCTCGACACAAGGCCAGCATGGCCTTGTGTCTACGTACAGCACTGGAGGAGAACGAGGCGGCTCTCCAAGGTCAGTCACCAGGTAGGTGAGCCAGCGAAGCTCCTGTGCAGCCATGGCCCCGGCGTAGATCTCAGCCTCACAACTGAAGCCGAGAACCGAAGACGAGCGAGTAGACCGCCACGAGACAGAGCCGGAACCAAGGCTGAAGGTGTAACCCTGTGACGACCGCTGCGTAGTCTGGTCGTCAGCCCAAGAAGCGTCTGCGTGGCCTGTAAGGACCACTGGACTCCGCCCTCCAAGCACTAGCCCCATGCCCGACGTACTGCACAGGTAGCGCAATACCCTCTTCGCTGCAGCCATGTGCTCTGGTCGGTGTCTACCAGGAGCAACATAGCGTGCAAGAATGCTCAGAGGGTATGCAAGGTCAGGTCGTGTGCAGGTCATCAGGTACATGAGGCAGCCAACAAGCTCTGCATACGGACCACTCGACTCTACGGACTCATCCGAAGGCAGAGCTGAGAGTGAGTGGCGAGTAGGCAGAGGAGTGGCCTGAGGCGAGGAGTACGTGAAGCCGAAGCGCTGAAGGACCTGCTGCACCATGTGTGACTGAGTCAAGGTAATGGTGCGGCGTGCTCTGTCCCGAGTGATCTGCAAGCCAAGGTAGCTGCGCAGTTCACCCAGGTCTGTGCACGTGTGTCTCTTCAGCAGCTCGGACTTCACGTGGGCGAGTCCAGCAGTGTCCGCTGTGGCAAAGACCAAGTCGTCGACGTACACGAGGATGTAGAACGGCGGCAGGGAAGTGTCGGTGCGCAGAAACAGCGACGGGTCAGCAGTAGAAGGAGCAAACCCAAGAGCCGCAAGCGTAGTCCTCAGTGTGTCGTGCCACTCACGCGGGTGCCTGGCGGAGACCGTAGACTGGCCGTCGGAGGCTCCACTGGGTGCCAGGAGGGAAAGTCCCAGTGAAGCCAGGCGGACGGCGCAGCCAGATCTCCTCGTGCAGGCTACCCTGCAGGAACGCAGTGCTGAAGTCGAGAGAGTGAAGCTCGTAGTCGCGCTGAGCGGCTATGTGTAGCAACACCCGAAGAGTGGTCATCTTCGGGGTGGGAGAGAAGGTCTGAAAGTAGTCAACTCCCTGCCGCTGACTGAAGCCACGAGCAACGTACCGCGCCTTGAAGGACAGGTGGAGAGCCCGACGGCCGCTTCACCCTGAAGATCCACATGCCACTGACGATGTTCGCCCCAGGAGGGGGAACCGCGTCAACGTAGGTGCCTGTGGACTTCCAGGAAGCCATCTCTGCATCCATAGCTGCCTGCCAGTGAGAGGAGTAGGGACCCTCAACGGCCTCCGCGTAAGAACGCGGAGTCGGGATGTCTAGTGCATCCGGGTCTCCCTCAGGGGCAAGCAAGTACAGACGCGAGATGAGGTGAAGCAGCCGCTAGACACTGTAACTCCTCCTGCCTGTCCTCTAGGACGTCCGTGCCAAGAGCACACTCACCCATGACGGACGGAGGACAGACAGACGCAGACTCAGCAACAAGACTAGCAGCGTAGTCTAGACGACAGCGAGCAGCAAAGTCGACGAGCTCAGCGACAAGAGCAGACGCAGCAGTGGACTCAAAAGAGGGGTCGGTGACGACAGTAGCAAGCAGACGCGTGACAGTGGGACTAGCAGCACGAAGGGAGTCCGACTCAGGGTCGGCAAGCGCAGGAAGAGAGGACTCAGGAGGAGAAGGCAAAGGGGCACGCAGAGGAGCAGTGGACGGACACAAAGACATCCGGTGCGTGCCAGGGACAGGAGGAGGACGCTGACGCGAACTGCGGCCACTAGCGCGAGCAGCACGAACAGGCGACGCGGGACGAGACGCAGGCTCACGACTGCTCAGCAAGACCTCCAGTAGGACCAGTGTAAGGGGAGGGAGCAGGCAGTGGAGAGGACGGCTCCAACAGTGACTGCGACTGGACCGGCTGTGGACACTCTACTAGAGGAGAAAGACCAAGAACCTGCTGTAGGAGCGGAACGAAGTACGACCGAGGCCGCGCGGCAGCTCCAGACTCAGCAGGGACAGCACCAGCACCCTCAGCGACAGCACCAGCGCCACCCACACCTCCAGCGGCAGGACCAACAGCAGTAGTCTCAGCACCAACACCCTCAGCAGCTCCAGGACCGGCAGCACCAGCACCCTCGACGGACGAAGAAGCACCAGCTCCAGCTCCAGCAGCACTCCCAGACTCAGCAGCCACGCCTCCAGTGGCGAGCGAAACCACTCGCGCAGCTCCTGTGGAGAGAGGGGCTCCCGGCGAGGTGCCGCAGCAGGAGAAACCCCAGGCTCAGCAGCTCCAGACTCAGCACCCCCAGGCTCAGCAGCTCCCAGCTCAGCACCCCCAGGCTCAGCAGCTCCCGACCCAGCATCCCCAGACCCAGCACCTCCAGGCACAGCACCCCCGGCTCAGCACCCCCAGGCTCCGCACCCTCCGCAAGTAGCACCCCCAGGCCCAGCACACTCAGGCTCAGCACCCCCGCGCACAGCACCCCCAGAGTCAGCACCCCCAGGCTCAGCATCGGCAGCAGCACCAGAGTCACCAGTAACCTCGACCGGGTCAACGGCGTCTACCTGGGACACACCTGAGGGGGCAGGAACCTGAGGAGGAAGGGGGTCTACCGGGGGGGGAACCGGCACAAGGAAGTCCGGGGGAGGGGGGAGGGAAGGAGTGCGGTAGGGGAAGAGACGGTAGAAGGGGACTGACTCGTCGAACGTGACGTCCTGGGAGGACAGAACACGACGAGAGGAGGGGTGGTAAAACTGCCACCCTGGGGCGTCAGTGGGGAAGCCAAGGAAGACACAGGGAGCAGCACGGGGGGACAGCTTGTCCGCAGACAAGTCGCGGACAAACGCCCGAGATCCCCAGACACGGAACGCAGACGCATCGCCAACCTTCCCCGTCCACAGCAAGGCTGGGGACATCGCAGGCCTAGAGACCCGGGGGTGAAGGTTGAGCTGATGCGCCGCGTACCTGACCGCAAACGGCCATAGAAAATGGGGGGAAGCCGCATGCATCATGGACGTACGAGCGACATCCATGACCATGCCAATGCGGCGCTCAGCAATCCCATTTTGCTGCGGAGAATCCGGAAGCGTGAAGGTCTGGCGGATCCCCCGTGCACGACAGTAGTCTCGCAGAAGGCGAGAGGAGAACTCTCCGCCTCTGTCCGAGTGCAGACGCAGAACAGGAAAGTCCGAGCCGAAGCTCTTCCTGAGCTGGAGACGAGCCTCGCGGATCTAGTCGATCAGCACCTCAGTGACCGCACCCTTGCTGCGCAAGGGGAGGACGGTGGTGTAACGCGAGTAGTCGTCAACCACCAACAGGAAGTAGCGCTCGTAACCCTGCCCACGGACGGGGGCCGGGCCCCACACATCCATGTGAAGCGTCTGCAGGGGAGCCTCCGTCGGGGGGAAGTGGGAGGAGTGAGGAGTAGCCCGGAGGCGACCCTCGACACAGAGGACACAGGAAGGTCCTGGCCCGGAGGGGAGAGGAGGGAGAGACCGGGGAAGACCAGAGACAAGGACACGGGAGGCCATGCTCCGAAGACGGGGCAAGGAGGGGTGGCCAAGACGGTGGTGCCATAGGAGAGTCTCGTGAGACAGGAGGCGACAAGAACAGGGGGCAGACTCAGGACCTGACCGGGACGCAGCAGCAAGCACCTGATCTGACGCAGCTACCTGACCGGACGCAGGGACAAGAGGAGACGAAGTGGTCAGGGTGTAGAGACTCGACCCCCGGCCGACGCGAGAAGGTGGCCAGGTGTCGGCCTGTGCGTGCGTCCGTGCAGTGGGTCACCCGCTGACTCGCAGGAGTAAACTGGTGAACCCCCGCATCCTGTAGGGCTGCTCCACTCACCAAGTTCGTAGAGAACGAGGGAAGGTACAGACCAGACAGGGCGCTCAAAGGGGCAGCTGGACACGGGAGGACAGTGGAGAAGTGAGACAGGACAGGACCCCCAGAAGGGTCAGCAAGGGAGACCGCAACTGGCCGGCCAAGAGGCGTAAGGGTAGTGCGGTCTCGAAAGAAGGAGCGAGAAGCTCCGGAGTCAAGTGTGAAAGTGAGGGAGGACGAGGGCGACTCAGTACCTGAAAGAGCAGTCTCACCAGTACCTGAGAGCGCAGACGCACTGGCACCTAGAGCAGCAGCCTCACAAGCACCTAGCGCAGCAGTACCAATGCCCGGGTCGGGCTGGAAACACCGGTAACCCTCATTCTCCTCACTATAAGTCACAGCATACATAGCAGCAAGGATAGCATCATAATCAAGATCAAAATCGCTACACCCGCCCGAAGGAGCTCATCCCAACGAGGGATCTCACTAGCCCCGGGGAACTGCTAACGCCAAGCGTCCGTCAGGCGGCCAAAGCAGCGCTGAGCGGGGTGGGCACCCCCACACTGCTCACCCGCGCGGTCGCCGGAACGAAGAACGTAGGTGCAGGGACCAGTACCCCCACCCCTCTGACGCCCAGCGTACCACTCACGAAGCTGCTGGGGCGGAGGGATGTCCCGCGAGCGCTGCTGCTGCTGCCGCTGCGAGCGCTGGCCACCACCACCGCCGCTACGCTGCTGGGTACCACCCCGACCAGCTCCGCTCCCTCCACCACCTCCGCCTCCTCCGCTGCCACCTCCACCACCGCTGCCACCACCACCACCGTCTCCGCCGCTGCTGCCACCACCACCACCACCACCACTACTCCCGCCGCCACCCCCCACTCCCGCCGCCGCCACCGCCGCCACCTCCACCGCTCCCTCCAGCTCCCCCCGCTCCCTTGCCCCCCTTGCCCTTGCTAGACCGACGTCTCCCACTAGGGGCAGACGCCGCGCCGACCGACTCAAGACCAAGTAGGTCGGCAGTAGCAGCAGAGGCAACAGAGGGCAGCAAGGGGGAAGGAGAGCACCCCTCAAAGATGGGGGTGCGAGGGTCACCACGAGAAGCCCCTACAGCAACTATGCTCTTCTCAGCTGAGAGGAGGGCCTTCTCGAGGAGTTCGACGGTGAGAGTGGTGGGACAGACTGCGAGAAAGTGGTCCCTGACTACACGAAGGGAGTCAGGGAGGCGCGCGACTACGTAGTAGAGAGTGATGTACATGGGGGGGGGGTTCTTAGCACAGAACTCAGCAGGAAGGGCGGCGCGGTAGCGAGTGTCACTAGTGCGGAGGTGCGTAATGAGGTCAGCAACAGTCGGAAAGGCAGAGAGGTCAGGAAAGAGGTAGGGAAGCATGAGACGGCTCAGTGCAGCAGTGGCAGGGGAGGAGTAGCGCGCAACTACAGCGTCGTACAAGGTCTGAGCACTCTTGTACTGACTAAAGTGCGCACGCTCAGAGGTAGGGAGGTGGCGACGCACAGCAAGACGTGCAGCAGCATCGCGGGTGGCCCACTGGGAGCGGACAGTGGGATCAGCATCAGCAGCAGGAGCAGGAGAGGCGCCAGAGGTGAGGTCAAAGAGAGAAAGGTCGTCAGCTCTGTCGCACTGTAAGAACAGCTGCAGGTCGTCTAGCCAGACCTCAAAATCAATGGCGCGACCCTCAGCGTCAAAAGCTAGGACACTAGGGGTAGCCATGGCGACGACTGTGAAGCTGTGCAAGCAGTAGGGGAAGAGCACGCAAGTGACAGTGGGACTGTGCTCACCAGGCAGGGCAGGTCGCGTAGCTCGACAGAAAGGCAGCTCGGCGACCGGGCGGCTCGGGTGCACAGCGGCTCGGCTCCCGGGCGGCTCGGCGGCAGGGCGGCTCGGGGGCAGGGCGGCTCGGCTCCCGGGCGGATCGGCTGCAGGGCGGCTCGGCTCCCGGGCGGCTCGGCGGCCGGGCGGCTCGGCTGCACTGCTGCTCAGAGGTCCGCCCGCACAGTCGCTACAGGTGGACGGCGGGGCCGATGCGTAGTGGGCGGCGAAGCCGCGGTTGAGCAGGCGGCGGCCGCAGCCTAGTGGGCTCGGAGGCCGCGGTCGTAGCAGGCGGCGGGGCCGTGCGAGCAGGCGGCTGGGGCCGCGGTAGTAGGTGGGCGGCGGGGCCGCGCGAGAAGACGGCCGGGGCCGCTACAGTAGCGGGGCGGCGGGGCCGCGGTCGAACAGGCGGCTGGCGCCGCCGTCGTAGCAGGCGGCGGGGCCGTGCAAGCAGGCGGCCGGGGCCGCGATCGTAGTAGGCCGGCTGGGGGCCGCGGTCGAGCAGGCGGCTGAGGCCGCGGGTAGTAGAGGGCGGCGAGGCCGCGCTAGCAGGTGGCCGGGGCCGCGACAGTAGCGGGCAGCGGGGCCGCGGTCGAACAGGCGGCTGGGGGCCGCGGTCGAGCAGGCGGCCGGGGCCGCGGTAGTAGCGGGCGGCGAGGCCGCGCGAGCAGGCAGCCGGGGCCGCGACAGGAGCGGGCGGCGGGGCCGCGGTCGAACAGGCGGCTGGGGCCGCGGTCGTAGCAGGCGGCCGGGGCCGCGATCGTAGTGGGCGGCGGCCGCGGCGTAGCGGGCGGCAGGGCCGCGTCGAGCAGGCGGCTGGGGCCGCGTCGAGCAGGCGGCTGGGGCCGCGATCGTAGCGGGCAGCTGGGGCCGCGACTTAGTGGGCGGCCGGGCCGCGTGTGGGAGGGAGGCGACACGGAGGGTCGCTCGAGAGCGGAAAAAAAAAATGTTGAGCGCGCCTCGGGGCGCGCTTCGGTGGGCCCTAGGCAGAGTTCCACAGGGAACCCGCTCTATACCATGTGAAAATGAGTAAGCAGGAAATGATTGACTATGAAATGAAATCAGTACAAGTATCAAACCCTAACTGGTTGTACCCCCTACGGTATACCCCACTACAGCCTACACAACAGTATAAGCTGTATATATGTTCTGACACCGTCCACCTGGCTTCACTGGGACTTTCCCTCCTGGCACCCAGTGGAGCCTCCGTCGGCCTGTCTACGGTCTCCGCCAGGCACCGCGTGAGTGGCACGACACACTGAGGACTACGCTTGCGGCTCTTGGGTTCGCTCCTTCTACTGCTGACCCGTCGCTGTTTCTGCGCACCGACACTTCTCTGCCGCCGTTCTACATCCTCGTGTACGTCGACGACTTGGTCTTTGCCACAGCGGACACTGCTGGACTCACCTACGTGAAGTCCGAGCTGCTGAAGAGACACACGTGCACAGACCTGGGTGAACTGCGCAGCTACCTTGGCTTGCAGATCACTCGGGACAGAGCACGCCGCACCATTACCTTGACTCAGTCACACATGGTGCAGCAGGTCCTTCAGCGCTTCGACTTCACGTACTCCTCGCCTCAGGCCACTCCTCTGTCTACTCGCCACTTGCTCTCAGCTCTGCCTTCGGATGAGTCCGTAGAGTCGAGTGGCCCGTACCCAGAGCTTGTTGGCTGCCTCATGTACCTGATGACTTGCACACGACCTGACCTTGCATACCCTCTGAGCATTCTTGCACGCTATGTTGCTCCTAGGAGACACCGACCAGAGCACATGGCTGCAGCGAAGAGGGTGTTGCGCTACGTGTGCAGTACGTCGGGCATGGGGCTAGTGCTTGGAGGGCGCAGTCCAGTGGTCCTTACACGGCACGCGGACGCTTCTTGGGCTGACGACCAGGCTACGCAGCGGTCGTCACAGGGTTACACCTTCCGTCTTGGTTCCGGCTCTGTTTCGTGGCGGGCTACTCGCTCGTCTTCGGTTCTCAGCTCCGGTTGTGAGGCTGAGATCTATGCTGGGGCCATGGCTGCACAGGAGCTTCGCTGGCTCACCTACCTGCTGACTGACCTTGGAGAGCCGCCTCGTTCTCCTCCAGTGCTGTACGTAGACAACAAGGCCATGCTGGCCTTGTGTCGAGAGCAGCGTCTGGAGCACAGAACGAAGCACATTGCTCTTCGCTACTTCCTTGCTCGTGAGCTGCAGCAGCGTGGACAGTTGCGGCTTGCGTACGTGGCCTCTGAGGCCAACACTGCTGATGTGTTCACCAAGGCACTCGCGCCTTGTGACCATCAGCGCCTCTGCACCCAGCTGGGTCTTGTGCCTGTCTTGCCTCACTTGCTCTCCTCTTGACTTTACTTGTACTGTGACATATATATATACCTGCTCTTGCTTGTCTAGTTTTATATACATATATATATGTCTGTACTCCTGCATGTGAACTGGCCTCTGGTCGTGCTCTTGTGCTCGGACTGTGTGGTGACTTTGTGATCCACCCCGAGCTTGCTTTGCTTTGCTTTGCTTGACTGGTCTTGTGACCCCTTGTTCTCCCCCACTTTGCCTATGGGGGTGTGTCATAACATATCTATAGCTTATACTATTGTGTAGGATGTAGTGGGGTATCCCATAGGGGGTACAACCCAGTTAGGGTTTCATATTTGTACTGCCTTCATTCATAGTTCACATATTCCTGTTCACTTCTTTCACAGGTAGCACCTGGACATGACATGGCCATTGGAGCTCGGCAATTGAGATGGCCTTCCTGCGAAGTCTGGACATGGACAGCCCCAAAAGTGCAGATTTTTTTGTCCACCCTAGCAGCTTCCACGTCTACCCCATGTGCAAGTCGATTCTGATGTGTGTGATCGTTAGGAGTATGCGAAACCTAACGCCCAATCAGATTTGCATGCGCGACTCAATTTACAGTCAGCGTTCGCAGCCCTAAACCCTCGACAGTTTCTCGCCACGCGTCAAAGGGTCTCATCGTGGGGGGTCTTTGCTTGTTCAGGGTCTGTGAACTCACGCGATGTCCAGATTCGTTGCCTTCCACCTCATCACAATGACTACTCACTTGCACGTGCGAAGTGCACTTTTCGCTGTCCCTACTTCGAAGTTGGGACAGCCCAGGAAGGCGATCTGAGTTGCGAGTTGCCAAGTACATGGACCAGAAGAAGGGCGCGCCCTGCCTTGCTATCGCCGACGGTGTTCGCCACTTCGTGCGTCACATTTCCCATGCCATACACAGTAGACTTGGCCAAGTCGGTTTACGCTACGGGACTAGCCCGGACCTCGTTGCCAGCGTCGCACTAGCTAGCTCGCGCGCTCCGGTTACCGTTTGCTATGTTCGCTATATATGTTCGCTCACACTTGTACTCGTTTGACTCTTTAGTGCTATCTTCACTCGCGCTTTCAAGTGCACAAGCAACACTCATGAATTTATCCCACTCATGTATAATGCAATGTTGCAGATTAACAGTGCAGCAGCTTGTAGTCGAGGTTTTTCGCACAACTTCATCAAGACATAAATCTGCGGCCAGGTTCCACAGCGTTATCCGAACTCCTGTTACCCGCATCGCATCGCCACCTGCTTTTCAAAAGAGTGTTCCCTCCCTACCCAGTCAACAACTTCGTGCCTCTCTCTCATCGCTGCTGCGTGCAACCAAACCAGCACGTCCATTTCCACCTCCATTTTCTGACGACTCATGTATTTCCAGCAACTTCACAATCACCTCTGCAGGTTTTTTTTTTTTTTCGCGTCACCTTCCACGAGCACTATGCCTGTTGACTGTGATAGCGTTTGTGTCTGACGTCTCAAAAGGTAGTGTCAGAAACCGCGGGAACACGACGCTCGCCTGCTCCCTTGCCGGCAGGGCGAGCGCATGGAGGCATATCCTGTGTCGCGCCACCCGCTGCACCCCCGCTTGCACTCTGGAACCACCCTACGCGCCCCCCCCCTCCAACCACCAATGGCGGCCCTTAGTTCCGCCGTCTCGCTATCAGCTTCTCCGTTGTTCTATATCGCTACGGCTGTCGCGGCTACCCGGTCGGCAGAGCGGGAGCGTCCCGCGGAGCCGCAGTCACTCCAGCCGGTTCGTCGCCGCCGCGAGCGGCGAAGAACCGAATGGAATTGTTGCGAACGATGCAGATAATATTGGGGATAAGAGTGCAGGGGGGAGTGAGAAGGCAGAGAGCGCGGAGCTGGCGGGCATCCTGGCGCGCGTTCACGAGGAGATGGCGGAAGCCACCCGCGCCCAGGCGGACGGGCGCGCGTCGGTCCTGCGGAGCATGGGGCGCGAGGGCGACGGGGAGAGCGCAGCGGGCGAGCAGCTTCTGCTGGAGCTGCTGCAGGCGGAGGAGCAACGGCGCATGCGCGCGCCGGGGGACGCGGAGGAGTCGGAGGAGGAGGCGGGGTTTTGGGAAGGAAGCGACGTCGCGCAAGGTGGAAAGGAGTACAGGTGGGCGCGAAGAGGGGCGAAAGCGAGTTGAGGGGAGTGAGTAAGGTCGCTATGCGTCACCCAGTACTGACCAAGTACCATGTACCATCCTCCCAATGCCCCTCACTCCACGCGCTCCTCTTCTGCTTTGCCCGTGCTCTTGCTTGCGCCCCCATGTCCTTCCCCCCCTTTTCCGCCGCCTGCAGGCTGCCCCCCTCCTTCTCCGCACTTGCCACTGGCTCGCCCGCGGTCCTCCCCGCCGCTTCTGCAGCGCCTGCTGCCGCTGGCGGCGATGGGGGGAGTGATGAGAGCAGGGGCGCGCGGATCGAGGGGGGAGGCGAGGGCGCGGGTCAGCGCGAGACGCGGCAGGAGCAGGGGGAGGGGGCGGGTGGCGAGGAAGGGGGCGGAGGGGTGGGGGAGGGGGAGAAGGAGGTGCCGGAGGGGTCAGTGGTACGGGAGCAGCTGGGCGGGCGCCCAGAGCTGTGGCGCGGCGTGCACGTGGCTGGGGCAACGTGGGCGGGCGCGGGCGCGGGGGTAGCGCAAGGGGAGGGGGATGGGCTAAGGCGAGGGGAGAGACCGGGGGAAGGAGGAGGGGGAGGGGCCGCGGCAGGGCAGAGCGGAGGGGGGGAGGCAGGGGCGGGCAGCGGGACGTACCTGCAGGCGCGCGAGCTGCTGTCGAATATGGCCAGGAGCATGGAGCAGCTGGAGAGCGGGCTCTCCGCCCGCCACAAGGTAGGCCTCTCCGCCCGCCACAAGGTACCCATGTGGGCCGCCATGCCCCGCCACCGTGCTGCCCACTACGTTGAGTCCAATCGAGCCCCATTTGGGGGCCATTGTTCAATACCAGTAGAGCCTGCATGCTTGTCCCGTTACCGTACACACACACGCATCACACGCACACACACACTCACCCCCACGCCTACTCTCTCCCCCGTGCGTGGCATGGCATGGCATGGCATGGCGTGGCGTGGCATGGCATGGCATGGCGTGGCGTGGCGTGGCATGGCATGGCATGGCGTGGCGTGGCGTGGCATGGCATGGCATGGCGTGGCGTGGCATGGCATGGCATGGCATTGCGTGGCGTGGCATGGCATGGCATGGCATGGCATGGCATTGCGTGGCGTGGCATGGCATGGCATGGCATGGCATTGCGTGGCGTGGCATGGCATGGCATGGCATGGCATGGCGTGGCGTGGCATGGGATGTCATGGCATTGCGTGGCGTGGCATGGCATGGCATGGCATGGCATGGCGTGGCATGGCATGTCGTGGCGGGTGAGCAGGAGATGGGCGAGTCCACGCAGTTCATCTCGGGCATCCGCTCCAGCGACCCCGCTGCCGGCCAGGTGGGCGCCAGGCCACGTGGGTGGGTGGCAGGGCGTGTGGGTGGCAGGGCACGTTGGGGGCAGGGCATGGCAGGGCACGCGGGTGGGTGGCAGGGCGTGTGGGTGGGAGGGCACGTGGGTGGGAGGGCACGTGGGTGGCAGGGCGTGTGGGTGGCAGGGCACGTGGGTGGCAGGGCACGTGGGTGGCAGGGCACGTGGGTGGGGCTATCCGTGGGTGGTGGGGTGCGGTGCGGGGATGGGGTTGGTGTGCCTGATTTCTGTGCTCCTAATGTGCAGCATTGGTGGCGCCGGCAGCATGCAGGGGTCACTGGAGGGAGCAGCAGGGGTCACTGGAGGGAGCAGCAGGGGTGACTGGAGGGAGCAGCAGGGGTGAGTGGAGGGAGCAGCAGGGGTGAGTGGAGGGAGCAGCAGGGGTGAGTGGAGGGAGCAGCAGGGGTGAGTGGAGGGAGCAGCAGCCTGGGTGTGGTAGCAGTGCGTTTGCACCCCGCATGGGGCACATGCTCTCCGCTTGTGTGAGGCAGCATGCGACTGCAACCTGCCAGCTGCTGACATGTGCTCTATGCTGGGCATGGGGCGTGGCATGAGAATGGGAATGGGAATGGGAACGTATGGGCATGGCATGGTTGGGCATGGCATGGTGGGGCATGACATGGCATGGCATGGCAGGGCGCAGTGGTGCGGAGAGCGGAGGAGATGGTGGCGCGCATGCAGGTGCAGTTCGCGGCCATGGAGAAGGAGGCGGCCCACAAGGACACCGTGCTTGACCGCCTGCTCGCGCACGCCAAGTCCACCAAGCAGGTGCGCCCTTCATGAAGTGCGCCCTTCATGAGGTGCGCCCTTCATGAGTTGACGTTTGAGTCGACTCATCAGTCACCTCGTTCGCGGCCATGGAGTAGGAGGCGGCCCACAAGGACACCGTGCTTGACCGCCTGCTCGCGCACGCCAAGTCCACCAAGCAGGTGCGCCCTTCATGAGGTGCGCCCTTCATGAGTTGACGTTTGAGTCGACTCATCAGTCACCTCGTTCGCGGCCATGGAGTAGGAGGCGGCCCACAAGGACACCGTGCTTGACCGCCTGCTCGCGCACGCCAAGTCCACCAAGCAGGTGCGCCCTTCATGAGGTGCGCCCTTCATGAGTTGACGTTTGAGTCGACTCATCAGTCACCTCGTTCGCGGCCATGGAGTAGGAGGCGGCCTACAAGGACACGGTGCTCGCCCGCCTGCTGGCCCACGCCAAGTCCACCAAGCAGGTGCGCCCTTTGAGTCCAAGCAGGTGCGCCCGTCATCCAAGCAGGTGCGCCCTTCATCAAAGCAACCATCATGCCACCTGCTCCCTCTGCCCTTGACCCATGGCACCCTTGACCCATGGCACCCTTGACCCATGGCACCCTTGCTCCCTCCTGTCCGTTCTCCTCTCCCTACTTCCTCGCCTCGCTTTCTTTTCTTCATTCCTGCTTTCCACTCAGATGTTTTCTTCCTGCCTCTGTGCGCGCGCGCGCGCGTCTCTGTGTGTCTGTGTGTGTGTTGTGTTGTGTTGTGTGTGTGTGTGTGTGTGTGTGTGTGTGTGTGTGTGTGTGTGTGCATGCGTGCGTGCGTGCATGCGTGTGTGTGTGTGTGTGTGTGTGCGTGCGTGCGTGTGCGTGCGTGCGTGCGTGTGCACTGGTGCATGTGGCGGGGCGGCGAGCAGCAAATGAGGGCGGTGGAGGAGCGGTCGCGAGTGGAGAAGGACGCGTTGAGGCGGGAGATGACGGAGCAGCAGCAGCGCATGCAGAAGGTGCGGCACACACTGCCTACTCCATCACCCGCACTGCACCGTACTCTACCGCATTCAACATCCATATTGCACCGTACTCTACCGCATTCAACATCCATACCCTCACAGCTCTCACCGTGTCTTTCCTTCATCGCCCACCATCCACTGTCCCCCTCACTCACATCCTTTTCCGTCCTCTTACCCGTATCCCCTGCCTCTCCCACATTCCCCTTCCTCCTTTCCTCTCCCCCACACCACCCCACCACCCCTCGAACCCACGTGGGCGTGCGAGCGAGGCGAGCAGGAGCTGGAGACAGCGGCGGGGCGGGAGGAGCGGATGAGGCGGCAGCTGATGGAGGCGCAGGAGGGCATCGCGCACCGGGACGCCTTCCTGCAGCAGCTGCAGGAGGAGGCCGCCCTCTCCGCCTCCGCGCTCAAACAGGCCGCCAGGGTGGGTGGGCTGGGGGGGATGTGCGTTGCTTTTCGCCTCACAAGGGTTGTGCTGCGCTGCGCCGGCTGGTGTCAGATGGGGTGCGGTGGGGTGGGGTGGGGTGGGCAGTGGTGGCGCGGGTAGGAAATCACTTAGATGACTGAGTGCCGGCATGTTCCAGCAGCAGTACCTATTTCTCCATGCCTTACGCCCTGCTTCCCTTCCCTGCCACCCGTCATCCCCGCTCCCTGCTTTCCCGTGGTGCCGTGCCCCTGTGTGCCGTGCCCCTGTGTGCCGTGCCCCTGTGTGCCGTGCCCCTGTGTGCGGGGCGGGGCGGGCGAGCAGGCGATGGTGGCGGCGCGGGACCGCACGTTGAGGATAGAGGAGCAGCTCGAGTCGATGGGAGACCAGCTGGCCAAGGAGCGCGCCAAGACCCGCCGCGAGCGCGAAAACACCGCGCGTGTTACCGCCGTGCGTGCACTGCACTGCTGCGCATTCTGCATCAGCATTGCCTGCTACCGCTCCTGATTCCATCACGTACCATTTCTCCACGCATCCCGCGTTGCTCCCCAATTGTTTGCATCCTCATCCCTCGCCACATCCCACCTTCTCACCCTCTCTCTCCCCCCACCCCCCCTTCTCCCCGGTGATGTGGGGGTGGCGTGGGGTGGGCGGTGACAGGAGCTGGCGGAGGCGCGCATGGCGGCGGAGGAGATGGCGGGGCGGGTAGGACGGCTGGAGAGCGAGGTGCAGCGCAAGGAGCGTGAGATGCAGCAAAGCCGCCATGAGGCGGACGCTGTCAGGGCGCAGCTTAAAGCCACCCAGCAGGTCAGGGCGCAGCTTAAAACCACCCAGCAGGTAGGCAGGGCGAGCGGCCGTGGAGGGGCGAGCGAGGGGGTCAATTGGTGTGTGAGTGGGGAGGGGTTGAGTGAGGGTGTCAACCTGTTTATTCCGAGACGAGCTCTGTCCTGCCCCACTGTCTTGCTGCCCGTCACATCACCTCAACCTCTCCTCCCCTCTGTTCCGTGCTTCCTTGCCCCCAGGCGTTGGAGGAGGCAGCGCGGCAGGCGAGGGAGGCGCAGGCAGGGAGGCAGCAGGCGGAGGCAGCGGCAGAGGAGGAGCGGGCGGCGGCAGCAGCGGCGGTGGAGGGGCAGCAGAGTGCAGAGCAGCGCCTGAGGGAGGCGCAGGCGCGGGTGGAGCTGCTGCAGGGCGAGGTGGTGTCGCTCAAGGTGGGGCGAGGTGGGGCGAGGTGGGGCGAGGTGGTGTCGCTCAAGGTGGGGGCGGGGGGGAGACAGAGGGGGTTGTTGGGATCCCGAGGTGGAATGAAAGTGACGTGTGGGCTGTTGGGGTGTGCTGTTGGGCTGGGCTGTTGGGGTGGGCTGTTGGGGTATGCTGGAGGTGCTTGAAGAGCACGGGTTGGCTTGAAGAGCACGTGGTTGGCTTGAAGAGCACGTGGTTGGCTTGAAGAGCACGTGGTTGGCTTGAAGAGCACGTGGTTGGCTTGAAGAGCACGTGGTTGGCTCAACTGATAAAGCACATGATGGGGTTGTGCTTGTTAACACCCCTGGCCTGTGCAGCCCTTTCATCCACCAGTGGTACTTTGCTACTGTCTCTCTCTCCCCACCCCTCCCCCCTCTCCACCTCGCGTCCTTGTGCTCCCGTCCCATGTGGTGTGTGTCGTGTGTGTGTGTCGGCGGGCAGGAGGTGGCGTTGAGCAAGGACTCGCTACCCTCTCTCTCTCTCTCTCTCTCTCTCTCTCTCTCTCTCTCTCTCTCTCTCTCTCTCTCTCTCTCTCTCTCACTCCCCACCCCTCTCCCGTGTGGTGCGTGTGCGTTTGTGTGGGCGTGCAGGAGGTGGCGTTGAGCAAGGACTCGCTACCCTCTCTCTCTCTCCCCACCCCTCCCCCCTCTCCACCTCGCGTCCTTGTGCTCCCGTCCCGTGTGGTGCGTGTCGTGTGTGTGTGTGGCCGTGCAGGAGGTGGCTTTGAGCAAGGACTCGCTGCTGGCGGCGGTGAAGGAGGAGACGATGCGCAACGCGGACATGCTGCTTGCTGCTGCCAACACTCGCAAGGTCAGACAGACCCGTGCTGCCAACACTCGCAAGGTCAGACCGTGCTGCCAACACTCGCAAGGTCAGACCGTGCTGCCAACACGCGCAAGGTCAGACCGTGCTGCCAACACTCGCAAGGTCAGACCGTGCTGCCAACACTCGCAAGGTCAGACCGTGCTGCCAACACTCGCAAGGTCAGACCGTGCTGCCAACACTCGCAAGGTCAGACCGTGCTGCCAACACTCGCAAGGTCAGACCGTGCTGCCAACACTCGCAAGGTCAGACCGTGCTGCCAACACTCGCAAGGTCAGACCGTGCTGCCAACACTCGCAAGGTCAGACCGTGCTGCCAACACTCGCAAGGTCAGACCGTGCTGCCAACACTCGCAAGGTCAGACCGTGCTGCCAACACTCGCAAGGTCAGACCGTGCTGCCAACACTCGCAAGGTCAGACCGTGCTGCCAACACGCGCAAGGTCAGACCGTGCTGCCAACACTCGCAAGGTCAGACCGTGCTGCCAACACTCGCAAGGTCAGACATGGCATCAACCTTGTCTTGTCTAACCCTCTCCATCACCCCGCCATTCAACCCTTCACTCTCTCTCCTCCCCCCATCCCCTCTTCCCCCTTTCCCCATGCCTCCATTCCCCTCCTGTGTGCGGTGTTGTGAGGGCAGGAGTTGGCGGGGGCGGAGGCGCGGGTAGCAGCGCTGCAAGGGTCGGTGGCGGCACTGGAGGCGGAGGTGAGGCAGCAGGACCAGCTGCTCAACGACATCCGCGCCGATGCTGTCTCCAGTGCTGATGCCCTGCGCACCGCTGCTCAGATCAACCAGGTGGGTTTTGAGTCGAATCAAAAGGCATAGGAGGCGGAGTGAGGTAGCAGGACCAGCTGCTCAGCGACATCCGCGCTGACGCTGTCTCCAGTGCTGACGCCCTGCGCACCGCTGCTCAGATCAATCAGGTGGGCGGCAGAGTGGTTCGGATCAACCAGGTGGGCTGTTTGGTGGTGCAGGCAGGTAAGGCGAACAGGGTGAGAGTTGAAACTTGGGAGGTTAGGGTGATGGACGGACTGGGCGAGTGGAAGAAGCGATGAGGCACGAGTGAGTGGCCCAGTAGGCACTGCAAGGACTACAAGTGGTCATGTGAGCACCACGCTGCTGCTCACCCCTGGCACCCCCTGTGCCTCCCCATGCCTGTCCCCCTCCCACCGTGGTGGTGGCATGGCAGGACCTGAATGCAGCGAGGGAGCGCGAGGCGGAGCTGTTGGAGCAGCTGGAGCAGCGCGAGGCGGAGGTGGAGAGTCTGCGCCGCGACACCTCCGAGAACATCCGCGCGCAGCGAGCTGAGCTCGTGAGACAAGAAAAAGAGAGGGGGGGAGGGGGTGGGGGCAGCGCGCTGAGCTCGTGAGTCATTGGAAAGGGGAGGGGAGGGGGTGGGGGCAGCGCGCTGAGCTCGTGAGTCATTAGAAAGGGGGGGGGGAGGGGGTGGGGGCAGCGCGCTGAGCTCGTGAGTCATTAGAAAGGGGGGGGGGAGGGTGTGGGGGCAGCGCGCTGAGCTCGTGAGACAAGAAAAAGAGAGGGGGGAGGGTTGCTTGGAGGGCAGCGCGCTCAGCTCGTGAGACAACAGGGGGGGGAGGGGGTAGGGTTTCTTTGCTCGTGAGTCATTGGAGGGCAGCGCGCTGAGCTCGTGAGTCAAGAAACGGGGGGGGGGGGGGAGAGGATTGTTTTGCTTTCAGGGCGGAACTTCTTGTGCAGCGCCCCCATCTATGTTGCACCTGACGCCCTGGAAGACGCGTCAAATCGGTTTGACGCTGGACGTTCGGGGAAAAAAAATTCGGGCAGCCCGAAAAAAAGTTCTCCTGCGAAATTGACTCGCGATTTCATCGCGACCAGAATTGACGATGAAATTGACAACTGGGGGCCACGTTTTTTACCTAAAAAACGCAACCCTCATTTATTCCCCCCCACACATTTGTACCCATCCACATCTACTTCTCCCAACCTGGTCGACCCCCAACTAAACTAGAGAACCAGATCTAGGTCAGGAGTATTTAACTTGTGTGTGAGATTAGGAGATTTTCAGGATTTTCAGGATTTTATGGAGTATTTATAACTAAAGGTGACAAATGTGAACTTCTTGCATTCTAACCCCTGCGTATCCTTACTAGGCAGGTTTTTTTACCCCTGCCCGGAAAACATTTTTGCCCTGCCCGGACTAGCGTCAAGCGGGCGTCCAGGGCAGAGGGCACCGGGCGTCAAGCGTCTGGACGCCCCGTCCAGACGCCAGCGTAAAAAACGCCTGACGCGTCAGGCACAACATAGGCCCCCATTACCTCCTCGCTGCTTCACTCCTCTTCCCTCGCTTCCTGTATGCCCCTTTTCCAGCACTAAACCACCAATCCCCTCCCTTTCCCCCTCTCCCCCCGTCCCCTCCCCAGTTTTTGTGTGTGGTGCGACTGGCGGGGGGCAGGCACTGCGCGAGGCGGAGAGGAGGGCGCGGGAGCTGGAGATGGGGAGGGGGTCGCTGCTTCACCCCCACTCTCCCCACCCCCTCAAAACCACCACTCTCCCCACCCCCTCAAAACCACCACTCTCCCCACCCCCTCAAAACCCCCACTCTCCCCACCCCCTCAAAACCCCCACTCTCCCCACCCCCTCAAAACCCCCACTCTCCCCACCCCCACAAAACCACCTCTCTCCCCACCCCCACAAAACCACCTCTCTCCCCACCCCCACAAACCGCCTCTCTCCCCACCCCCACAAACCGCCTCTCTCCCCACCCCCTCAAACCGCCTCTCTCTCCCCTTCCTTCCTCCAGGCGCTGCGGGAGGCGGAGAGGCGGGCGCGCGAGCTGGAGATGGAGAGGGAGTCACTGCGGCGGGGCGTGGCGAAGCGCGACCAGGCGCTGGGGCTCATGAAGAGGGAGCTCGAGCGCAGCGCGCACATGCTCTCCGCCGCTGCTGACACCCGCCAGGTGAGGCAGCGCCCACATGCTCTCCGCCGCTGCGGACACCCGCCAAGTGAGGCGTGCTGCTCACATCACACTCGCCGGCTGCTCTTTTCAGGTAGATGAGCTTGTGGAGCAACAGCTGTGCTGTGACTGAGGGAATTTCTTTGCACTGTGCCCCCCTTTCCCTCCCTTGCCATGGGATACCTCCCTCATGCACTCCCATTGTGCCCTCGTGCACTCCCATTGTGCCCTCATGCACTTCCATTGTGCCCTCATGCACTCCCATTGTGCCCTCATGCACTCCCATTGTGCGCTGGGAACGGCAGGCGCTGCGGAGCATGAAGGAGCAGATGGAGTGGATGCAGGAGGAGGCGCGCGTCAAGGAGGAGCGCCTGGCAGCGCTGCAGGAGGAGTTTGTCTCCGCGCTCAAGGGCACCACCTTCCCATCGCTGGTACACGCCTGTTCTGTGCACGCATGCATGAATGCATTTGTTATCCTTGGTGCTTCTCCTCGTATGTGGATGTGCAGCAAGTTTGCAGTTTTCGTAAACCTCACTTCGCCAGTGCTCATTTCTTTTCTGAACTGACATGATTCATGCAGGACAAGAGCATTCTAAAGCGAAGAAAGGTGCCGCCACAAGGGAAGTTGTCTGGAGATGCGCAACCCCAATCACCTGCCTGATAGCAACACTTACCTCCATGGCTATGGAGTGCCTGTAGCAGCAAGCATGAGTGCTTGGTTCCTGAGTATGTATGCAAGCATGTTGGTGATGCTAATTATCGGTGCTTGATTAGCATGTTCTTAGTTGAGGGTTGGAAATGTAGAAACATATTGTAGAGAGTTGCGAGCAGCTTTGGCGCGGATGCAATTTCCGGTAAGCAGCAAGAAATGTTCGACGGCTGTAAGCCACTCATCTGTAATCCTTGAGCCATGAATTTGGCCTACACCGTACGTACAATATTGGCTGCGGGTTTCTACCTACATGAGGCGGTTGGACTCTACGAAGTTTTGAGGGCGCGAATCGTTGGCGACCGTCGTTCGGCGCCCCTTCAAACGGGTCCAAGCCCATTCTCGCTACCACGAACACACCCCCCTCGGTCCTTCGATGCTTTTCCCAACGCCAATAGGGATGCATGCGCTTCCTTACCATTTGTCGGCAGAGACAGGTGTCATCGCAGACGCCGAACTTTTCTATGCACGCGAACCAAGCCGAAAGTTCTCTAGTAGGTATATTTGAGCTTGGACCACGCTTATATACAACAACATTCAGGTCGTTCGATGCTTTTCCCTACGCCTAAG